CTCGCAGAGCAGCTCTGCCTTCCCACAACACTGCACTGTGGGATGCTTACCCACATTGCTTTGCTCTTATCTGTGGACAGAGGAGCTAGCAACAAGGCCACAAAATGTCAACAAGGGGAGAGAAAAACTGGTTTTACCAGTTTTCACTTCTGACAACTTTTGTATGTTGACAGCACTTTTGTCACCAAACCTTCTTAGTGCTCGCAGAGCAGCTCTGCCTTCCCACAACACTGCACTGTGGGATGCTTACCCACATTGCTTTGCTCTTATCTGTGGACAGAGGAGCTAGCAACAAGGCCACAAAATGTCAACAAGGGGAGAGAAAAACTGGTTTTACCAGTTTTCACTTCTGACAACTTTTGTATGTTGACAGCACTTTTGTCACCAAACCTTCTTAGTGTAGACATTGCCCAGGAAGCACATTATACTACTTGTTTTATGTGAAATCATTTCTGTTTCCATTGCCGCCCACAGAGCTCCTCTTGCCTCCCCGTCCCTAACTGTGACAGCTCCCTGGATTAAGAAAGGAGCTTTAGGGACTGCAGCCCAAGGACCCAGGTTGAGGGGAGCCCAGACTGCAGCCTACAAAGCCTATGTTCTAGGCCAGCCCTTTCTGGTGGGGTGAATGGTGAAGGGTAGGCAGCGCTGCACACTACCGTTCATTCCCGCCCCGGCTGGAGTGCAGCAGTGTCACTGAGAGTGCCAAGAAGCACAGCCGTCACCTGCAAGCTCTGCCTCCCCCCCTCCCCACCTGCTGATGCTCCCATTGGCCAGAAATCGCAGCCCATGGGAGCTGTGTGGGGGTGGTGATGATGCCTGCAGGAGAGCATCAGGCAGTATGGGTTACACAGAACTGTTGCCCCTCCACCACCAAATGGGAGCTGTCCCAAGTAAGCGTCCTGCACCCTGAGTCCTGCCTCATCCCCGACACTCTCTCACACCCTAACTCCCTCCAGACCAATTCATCACAAGCCAGAGCCCCACCCTGAGCATATTTTACCAACCTAGCTCCCTCCTAGACTCCACACTTCAATGCTTAGCTCCTTCCTGCACCCTAACTCCCGACCAGACTCCGCACCCCCTCAATAACCTGTCCAGAGCCTGCTCCCATACTCCAAACCAAGAATACTCTTGCACGCCAAA